ACCTGAGCCATTTCAAGGGCCTCTCAGTTCTATCTGACCTGGACCCCACTTCCAGCCCGCTGGTCCCCAGCAGTGCTGATTTCTGTACTGGTATTGGAGACAGTAGGCTTCTAGTTTCCAGACGACAGTTTGGAACACAAGAGATGATGGAATTGTCTGTGGGTGGCAGGCAGAGTGAGAGGAGAATGGAGGACCAGCTGTGGAGACCACGGGCACTTCAGGGACACACAGAAGAAGAGAATCATTGAAAGCAATTGTATTCGTTTCCTATTGCTGCTATAATAAATTACCACAACTCAGTGGCCTAAAACAATGCAAATTTATCATCCTACAGTTCTGAAGGTCAGACTAATTCTGCTCCTTCTGGAGGCTCCAGAGAAGCATCCATTTTCTCAACTTTTTTAGCTCCCAGAAGCCACCTACATCCTTTGGTTCATGGTCCCCTTCCTCCACCTTCAAGACCAGCAGAGGAGCATCTTCAGATCTCTCTCTGTCCCTCTGCTTCCGTCATCATGTCACCTCTGCCTCTGATCCTTTGGCCTCTCTCTTAGAAAGACCCTTGTGCTTACTCTGGCCACCTGGGTAATCCAGGATGATCTCCCATCTCAAGATCCTTAACTTGATCATCTCTGTAAAATCCTTTTTCATCACAGAAGGTAATATTCACAGGCTCCAGGGATTAGAACGTGTACATCCTTGGGGACCATTATTCAGCCAACCACAGAAACAAAGAAGGATGCGCCTGGTGGGACGAGCCAGAGTGACAGGGCCAGGAAGGTAGGGGACAATGAAGAAGGCACAATCAACAGGGACAAATGCCACCAAAGATCAAACATCAGCTGAAAGATGAAGGGGGATGGTTATTTGCATGGTTTCACAAATTTCTAACTACAAGGACAAAGGTGTGCTTTCTGCCCTGGCCAGTTTGGTTCAGCGGTTAGAGCATCGGCCTGCGGTCCAGGGAGTCCCAGGTTAAGTTCCCTCTAAGGGCACGTACCTCAGTTGCAGTTTGTCCCTGGCCCCAGTTGGGGTCGTGTGGGTGGCAACTACTCGATGTGTCTCTCTCATGTCGATGTTTCTCTGTCTTCCTTCCTCTCTCCCTCCCGCTCTGTCTGAAGATAAATGTAAAAGTGTCCTCGGGTGAGGATAAAAAAAAAAGTACTTTCCCACCGAGCGATCCCAAGTCACTACTCTACCCTGGGATTGCACTCAGCATCCACGAAAGGGGGACACCAGATATGGGTGCTCCCGTTGTGACACTCAGCACCCCCACAAAGTAATATGGCCAAGTCTTTAACTGCATCCAACCAAATCGTCACATCCTAGTCCAGTTTGTAGGAAGTACAGGAGACAGGAGAGCAAAATGAATGACACCACAAGGAAATAACAGACAAATCCAGAGTGTGGGGCAGTCTACAATGCCACTGACCTGATCTCCGCAAAAGGTCAATGTCCTGGGAAACAAAGAGGGACAGGAGAGGGATTGGGACTAATTAAGAGACATAAGAGACAGAAAACAAAGTAAATGCATGATCTTTATTGAATCCTGATTTGAAAGATAGTAATAAAAGACAATTTGGGGACTATCAGAAAAAATTTGAATTGGGACTAAATATATATATTTTTAAATCAGGGAACACAATGTTTTGTCCGGTGAGCTAAAGGTATTTTGTGGCTATGTGGAACATAAAAATTTTGGTTTTTTTCTTGTTTATTTATTTTTATACTAGAAGAGAATTGAACTTATGTTTGGACTCAGGGAAGGAACCAGAGAGGGAAAGGGTGGAGACATGGAGAGAGAAATAATGGATATAGAAAGAAAGGAAAGAAGGAAGGAAGGAAGGAGGGAGGGAGGAAGGAAAGAAGGAGAGAGGAAGGAGGGAAAGAGGAAAGAAGGAAGGAAGGAAGAAGAGAGAAAAGGAGGAAGAAAGGAGGGAGGGAGGGAGGGAGGGAGGAAGGAAACCTTGCACAGATTTAAGACTGCAGTGGTCAGTGGTCCCCAAATCTGCTGCTAGTGCTACAAGAGAAACTAAAACATAGACTCCCAGGTGCCCCTTCCAGAGACACTGATTAGTAGGTGTGGCTGAGACCTGGGAATCTGTCAGTTTCCAAAGCTCTGCAGGAGACTGTCCTTGGCCAGGTTTGGGGCCTTGAAGGGGTTGGGTGTCTGAAGACATGCTCTGCAGAAGGATGAGATCTGTTGTAAGCCCATTCAGGCAGTAAAACCAGGTCTGAGGGAAAAGCCACCGGGAGGCAGAGGTGACTAAGGGTGAGCCTGACTGCAGGGCAGCCAGTGCCAAGGCTGGCTCTGGGAGAGGACCCCACACTGGGTGGGGCCCAGTGAGAAGAGAACACATAACATGAGGCTGAATAAATCACCATCTAAATCTAGAGTTCCAGCTGGTGCAAGCATGGGCGAACTATTTCACTTCTCTGGGCCCCCATTTCCGGGCAGAAAAATCCAGCAAAATGGGGGTGGTAGATGAGCTCTAGTTTTCCTTTCCTTTCTTTTTCCTTTTCTTTTCTCCTTTTTCCCTCTCTCCTTCCTCCCTCCCTCTCTCCTTCCTTCCTTCCTTCCTTCCTTCCTTCCTTCCTTCCTTCCTTCCTTCCTTCCTTCCTTCCTTCCTTCCTTTTTCCCTCCTTCCTTGTTTTTCTGTCAGCTTTCTGGTGGCAAAACCCTTTATCCCAATGAAAAGTTACAAGCTTCCCAGAGTCCTTCTGTTCCTGCTCCTGCACCCTGCCCCGGCCCCCACAAAGCCTCAAATCCCCACAAAAACCAGTTGAAACGCCTGGGCTCGACTCACTATGATTGTATCAAGCACTAGCATGCTGGCAGTTCCAAAATGACGAGAAGAAAAAGAATGCTCTTCTTGGGAATGCTCGAGAAGCTTCCAGGCTTAGAGAGCTGGAAAGCGCATCCGGAAGAGAGACACTAGCAAAGGCTGCCTCCGAAGCTGGACCTTGAGTCTATCACAATGATTTGACTTAATTTACTCATAGCTGCTTTTCCTTACCTGATCATTAGTTGACTCGCATCTTGCTGAGGAAATGATTCATTGTGATGGAGAATCTAGGAATTCGCGGGGCCCTGAATGTTCAAGGTTGTAACTAACAAAACGCCCACCCGGGGCTGGGACTTGCTGTGAGGAAAGCAAGAGCTGGTGGCCACCTGTTTCTGTGTCTCCCATGGGGACACGCCCTCAGGATGACTGGTTTATTTTCCATTCAGAGTTCTCTTCTAGACTATAGTTATCTGAAACAGGACGAGGGAAACAGTATCTGAAGCTGTTGCCAGGGCAACCTGACAAAAGACTTCACCCTCAGCTACTGTACATGCGATTTGTCAAAGGCAGCTGGCTCACAGGGAGAGGAAAGAGAAGGGCATAGGTTGTGACTTTTGGTTAAAAAAAAAAGTAAAGTTGGAAGACTATTTTCTGGTTAAATCAATTTACGTAGAACAGGAAAACAGCTGTGACCCGCGCAATAAAAATTCAGAAAAGGCAGGAGGGGAATGCTAAGAGGGCAACCCTTAAACGTTGTTTTGTGTGATATCTATAAAACAGTTACACAGAAGAACTTTTAAAAAACATGTTTTTATTGATTTTAGAGAGAGAGCGCACTACATCAGTCGCTGCCTCCTGCACGCCCCCTACTGGGGGATTAAGCCTGCAACACAGGCAAGTGCCCTGACCAGGAATCAAACCAGCAACCCTTTGGTGCATGGGACAACGCTCAATCAATAGAGCCACACCAGTTGGGCATATCAGAGTTTTTAACACCAGGCTGCCTGGAGACCTGGAGCTGAAAGTATGCCCTGAAGAGGGAACAGAAGAGAGGGCAAGAGAAGAAAGAAAGCAACGAGAATATTCAAGTATGTACAGACACACATGATGCTGGGTGTTCTTGACACATGTGCCAGCTCTTCTCTCCCAGAACCATAACCTCTCATGACAGCAGGCACTGTACTGAGAGCAGCATTAGAGAGCGTGGCAATTCCACCTGCTCGTGGTATCTATGAAAAGACGGAGGCCGCCCTGGCCGGTTTGGCTCAGTGGTTAGAACCATGGCCTGTGGACCAATGAGTTGTGGGTTTGATTCCGGTTAAGGGCATGTACCTCAGTTGTGGTTCATCCCCGGCCCTGGTCAGGGTCGTGCAGGAGGCACCAGTCGATGTGCCTCTCTTGTGTTGATGTTTCTCGACACAAGATGTTGTTGATGTGAATGTTTCTCCCTCTCTCTCTCTCTCTCTCTTTCTTTCTCTCTCTCTCTCCTTCCCTCCCTCCCACTCTATATGAAGATAAAATAGAAAAATATCCTCGGGTGAGGATAAAAGAAAAAGACGGAGGCACATAGAAGACAACTCGCTCGAGGTCACCCAGCTAGGTACAGGTAGAACGAAGTCAGGAGCCCTGATTCCTGCTTCCCCATGATCTTTCCACTTGTTGGCGCCTCTGTCCTGTGGATGTCGTCAGTTTATTCTAGTTTTGAAAGAGGCATAACCTGGACTAGGTTCAAGGGATGTCCCGTGATGCCAGGGGCCAGGCTGTGAGGGTGCCAAGCACCCCTCCCATCCCTTTTCATCTATTTTTATGTCTCTTAGGGCCCCACTTAAAATTATTTAAGGAGCAAATCTATTGCTAAAAAAAGTTTGAAGATCATCAGTCTAAAGATAAATACATTAGGATAATAGTGATGGTTGCCCAGCCTTGTAAAGAGACTGTAACCACTGAATCATATGCTTTAATATGATGAATTTTATTTTTTAAAATGTATTTTATTTATGATATATTTATATATATTATAATATATAAATTGTATTTATATTCAAATAAAAAAAAACCTAAATATACCTTTATTCATAGCAAGGGGAATGCGAAGACAAGCACTGAGTTGTACTTAGGGTCAGAAACCAAATAGGAATGGATCATGACCCTGACCCAGAGGTTTCACCCTCCTCCGCCCCCCACTTGCACCTCCAGAGCCCGTGGGCAGCTCCTTACCGAGTTGGTGCCCAGGATCTGCAGGTTGGGCTTCTCCGACTCCAGCAGCTTGGCCACCATCTTGAGGAAGCTCTCCACAAAGAGGTTGATGCTCTGGCAGTGGCAGGCCATGAGCAGCTGGTCCAGCGCCTCCATGGCGATGCACACGTACCTGCGGACAGACCAGAGCCATCACCAGCCTCGCCCAGTCCCCTGCGCTGCCTGACAGCCATAGCGACTTCTTGGGCAGCACCCAGGTAATGAGGTCCCTCTACAAGTTGTCAGTGCCTTCACAGGACGATCACCAGTATCACGGTGGTCATCTTCTCCTTCAATGCTTCTTAAATCCCAAGAAAAGTGCCAAGAATCAAATTCCTCCTGAGAATCAGGAGTGCATGTCTAAGCTCACCCCAACATTTGTTCCTTGACAGCAGTAAAACAAGCACAAGGCCCTGGCTGGTTTGGCTCAGCAGTTAGAGCGTTGGTGCTCGAACCAAAAGGTTGCAGGTTCCATTCCCGGTCAAGGACATGTACTGGGGTTGCAGGTTTGATCCCCAGTCCTGGCCAGGGTCATGTAGAAGGCAACTAATCCATGTGTCTCTTTCATATCAATGTCTTGCGCACTTTCTCTCTCTCCCTCCCTTCCACTTTATCTAAACATCAATGAAGAAATACTCCCAGGTGAGGATTAACAACCCCCCCGCCAAAAAAATACAAAACCCCTGAGCATATGGTCAGGCAAGGTAAATGGTACTCCTCCTACTCACAAACCATTTGCATTCCAAAGAAAACAAGGTAGACCTTTTTTTTTAAAAAGGCTATCTTTTAACTTCTAATGAGGAAGCTACTGCAAATGTGTCAAAACTTATTTTTTTAAATAATTTAAATCTTTATAATTATCTTTAATAAGTTAGGTTTCTGGGCCAGAATTCTAGATGTCACCCCTGGAATCTCTTTTCCCCCTTGGCCATAGTGATTTAGAATTTCTTTTTTTTTTTTATCCTCACTCGAGGACATTTTTCCATTTTTTGTTCAGATAGTGTGGGAGGGAGAGAGAGGAAGAGAGAGAGAGAAACATCGACGTAAAAGGGACACATCAAGTGGCTGCCACCAGCACAACCAACAAGGGCCTGGGACAAACTGCAACCGAGGTACGTGCCCTTAGCGGGAACCGAACCCGGGTCTCTCTGGGCCACAGGTTGATGCTCTAACTGCTGAGCCAAACCAGCCAGGGCTGATTCAGAATTTCAACTGAGTGTGTGGTTGCTCACTAGGAACTCTTCCCAGCCTCTCATGTTGCTAGTTGAGGCCATATGGCTAAAATGTCGCCATTGAAATGAGGGGAAGTGAGGTGAGCAATGTCAGCATCAATTGATTAAAAGATAGGATTGTCCTCCATGTCCTCTCTTTCCCTCTTCCTACTGGCAACAGCTGAACACCCAGAGCGAAAGTCCCTGGCTGACCTCATGGCGCAGAGCCCACGGACCCAGTCTGGACTGTTACGTGAGAGAAAAACCACTTCCACATTGCCGGAGCCACTGTAGTTTCGAGTCTCTCTGTACCCTAAATACCATGAGTATCTGATCATTACGGTTAGGAGTGCTTTGGCAACTTGAAGGTGCAAGTAAATGTGAGTCCTAGGCAATCCGAAGCAAACCAAGGGTCTGACTTCACAGGAAAGAGAAGAATAAGAGCTGAAGCGATTCTATCCTGCCAGAGGAGAGACCCTCGCAAGGCTTCATGGACTCAGAACTGGGCTCATGTGCCCATTGCAGGCTGGTGAGCCTTCTACCTGTAGAGCCAAACCACGTGGAATAGAAAAGTACTTGCCCATCAAAGAAAATGCAGGGGAAGGAAAGTGAACGGAGAACCCCCAAACCTAACTGAGGCGCTAAGGAGCCAGGATAATGTCTCTAAGTCAAGAGCAAGTAGCAAAAGAGTCCCCTTAGAGATTGTGGTGAAGCTGTCACCATGGGCTTCTGACGTGCTAAAGCTGCCTGACTCTCTAAAGTCAGCCTCAGCTGCTGTACAAATAATAAAGGGTGCATTCAAAGATTTGTTCTGTATGTGATCCAAATTGTATCCATCTTTGACTGTTAGACAAGTATTTACAAATCCTTGGTTAGCTAGTCTTTGTCTTCTTTTTTTATTTCTTTTAGTTTTTTTTTTTTGGTCAGTTGACTTTTTTATTAAATTTATTTTTAAATTTCAGTACAGTTGGTATATACAATCTTATATTGGTTATATTAGTTTCAGGTGTACAATATAGTGGTTTGACATTTTTATACCTTACAATGTGATCACCTTGCTAATTCTAGTCATCATCTGTCACTGTGTAAACTTATCACAATATTATTGATTATATATATTCTCCTTCCCTCTTTTACCCACCCTCACCCTTCTCTCTTCAGGTAACCATCCCTTTAGTCTCATTCTATGAGTCGGCTTTTGTTTTGTTTTTAGATTCCACATATAAGTGAAACCATATGGTATTTGTTTTTCTCTGCCTGACTTATTTCATTAGCATAATACTCTCTAGATCCATCCATGTTGTCACAAATGGCAAGATTTCATCCTTTTTTTATTGCTGCATAATATTCCTGTGTGTGTGTGTGTGTGTGTGTGTGTGTGTGTGATATCACATCTTCTTTATCCACTCCTCTATCAATGGACACTTAGGTTGCTTCCATATTTTGGCTATTGTAAATAGTGCTGCAATGAACAAAGGGGTGCATATTTCTTTTTGAATTAGTGTTCTTGTTTTCTTTGGATAAATACCCAGAAGTGGAATTGCTGGGTCATATGGTATATCTATTTTTAGGTTTTTTGAGGAATCTCCAGACTGTTTTTCACAGGGGCTAAACCAATCTGCAGTTCCAACAGTGCAGAAGGGTTCCCTTTTCTCCACATCTTTGCCAATACATTATTTGCCAACTATTATAAAAAAGTTGACTTTTTTATAATAGGCATTCTGACTGGTGTGAGGTGATAGATAGCTCATTGTGATTTTGATTTGCATTTTCCTGAAGATTAGTGATGCTGAGCATCTTTTCATGTCTTTTGGCCATCTGTATTTCTTCTCTGGAGAAATGTTTTCTCATGTCTTCTGCCTATTTCTAAAATCAGATTTTGTTTTTTTATTGTATTGTATGAGTTTCTTATATATTTTGGATATCAACTCCTATCAGAATATATCATTTGCAAATATATTGTCCCATTCAGTAGTTTGTTTTTTGTTTTGTTCAAGTTTTCCTTTGCTATGCAGAAGGTTTTTAGTTTGATATAGTCCCATTTATTTATTTTTCTTTTGTTTCCCTTGCTTGAAAAGATATTACCAAAAAGATATTACTCAGACTGATGTCAGATAAAGTTTACTTCCTATGTTTTCTTCTAGGAGTATTATAGTTTCAGGGCTTACAATTGAATCGTTAAACCATTTTGAGTTTATTTTTGTATATGGTGGAAAAGTGGTCCAATTTTATTTTTCTGCATGTATCTCTCCAGTTTTCCCAACACCACTTGTTGAAGAGACTATTGCTATTCCACTGTATATTTTTACCTCCTTTGTCATAGATTAGTTGACTATATAAGCAAGGATTTATTTCTGAGTTCTCTATTCTATTCCATTGGTTTATGTGTCTGTTTCTGTGCCAGTACCATCCTGTTTTGATTATTATAGCTTTGTAATATAGTTTGAGATCAAGGAGTGTGATACTTCCAATTATGTTCTTTTTTTTTAAATCCTCACCCGAGGACATTTTTCCATTTTTTTGTTCAGATAGAGTGGGAGGGAAAGAGAGAGAGAGAGAGAGAGAGAGAGAGAAACATCAACATGAAAGGGACGCATTGAGTGGCTGCCACCTGCACGACCAACCAGGGCTGGGGACAAACTGCAACCGAGGTTTGCACCCTTAGCGGGAACCGAACCTGGGTCTCTCTGGATTGCAGGCCGACACTCTAACTGCTGAGCCAAACTGGCCAGGGCAAATTATGTTATTTTTTCTCAAGGTTGCTTTGGCTATTCGGGGTCTTCTGTGGTTCCATATAAAATTTGGGATTATTTGTTCTAGCTCTGAGAAGAATGACATTGGTATATTGATAGGAACTGACTATAACACAAGGCTCTACAATATATTTTGTGGCAGCCACTTAATTTCATCTCTTGTGTGTCGAAGCTGTCTTGCACATGAGTCGGCTTTGCAAATCTAACCATATAAAACAACAGCAGTCATGGCAACTTCTATTTTTTTTTGGAGACATCAGAAACCATTTCTTAGGTAACCTTGAGTTAACTTCTACACTGAGCAACCATAGAAACACAGCTTCTCTACTCTGAAATGTTCCTGTCCACTCCTATAAAGTGTATATTTCTTTTATCTATGTGAACTGTCAACTTATTAAATTATATTTAATATCATTAGAATAAAATATTATAAAATATTATGAAATAGTCATCTCTGGGCACATTCACAAATGGATCAGGTCACGGTCTTATCTACAGAGTATCTTTGACATACAAAGGCAGCGCTGGGTCTTTGAGCTCCTTCAGTGAACAAAGTCACCATTCTTCCCTGCTCCGGGGGCTGGCCATTCCTGGCTCACTGCAGCCTTGCCTTCTCATTACAGCCTTGACCTTCAGAGGCCATCACAGTCACAGCCCAGGAAACCTGCTGTGCCTTTCGGGCCCCGTTCCAGCATGTTTCAGGTCCACTGTGCGGGCCAGTGAAGCAGACTGAACCTTGCAGGGCTGGGGCCCTTCCAAAGGGGACAGCCTTTCCCTGCAGACAAACCAGGACACATTTGGCTAATCAAACATGTCAGGTGAGAACGGGGGCAGGCAGCATAAACTTCTTGTCTCTGATGAATCACCCCAGCGTTCTTCTGTGTGAAGGGTTGCACCATTATTTAATAGAGTTTAAATGAGGAAAAGGAAGGGGTGGAGTGGGGTTGGCAATAGAAGAAACTAGAAGGCCTTCCAAAGCCTAAAGCTTAGATTGTTGCTTTTCCTTTTCCTGTAAAAAAAAAATAAAATTCCAGAAAAAATCCTGATAAGGAAAAACCATCCTTGGCTAAAAAAAAACACAAACAAAACGGCAATGACCAGGAATGGAAATTTTGAGGGAAAGTCAAAATTATGGTAGAAATGAAACTGAAAGTAATGAAGATTAAGGCCTAGTTCTGTGAACACATTATTCTTCATTCCCCATCTTTGATCCTAACTGTAAGGATGGAAGGATTGTGATTATGAACTTAAACTTTTCAAAGTATCTTAGATTAGAAGTCAATGGGACCAGAACTCCCTAGTCCAGTGCTTGCTGCCTTGGTCCTTTCTTGCCATAACTTACCAAGGTATGCCCTACACTCGCAAAGGGAATAGAGCACAGGCTTCTTAGGGTGATACCTTCCAAAGAGGACTAGGGTCAGACAGGTTGGTCTTAGCAGAGATCTGATCTGGGCCTGGAAGGCATCCTGTGTTGCAACAGGTCTGGGAAACAGAACTGACCTAACTGGGTACTTGGAACAGAATGGGGCAGGAAGGAGGTGGTGAGGACTAGTCCACTGCAAGGCCCAAGGGAGAAGGCAAGAACAGGTGACAGACCACAGCAGCAGATGACAATCAAGGGCCTGGATGTACTCGCAGGGCTTCCCAGCAGGTGAGGAGGACCCAGCAGGACCCAAGGAATCTGGGATAAAGTGGGGTTCATGGGCAACAACCAAGTCCTGGAGGGGACACCAGTTGTAACAACAGGAACTTAGGGTCAAGGCTCGAGGCTGAAGGTGAGTTATAACAACTGAGGAAAATACACAAAAGCTCTGGTGTGTAGGAGTGAGGCAAAAAGTGCCTTGTGTTGCATTTCAGCTGGTTCTATTTGAACACCCTGTGTTCAGTCAGGAGTGGGCCCAGGAGCTGGGGAGGTGCTGAGCCTCCAGGAAAGAAGAAGCATACCAAATCTGGGATCAGACTTAGTTGGAGAGGAAAGACAGATCCAGAGTCGGAGATGAGGGCCAGCAGGCAGGAGAAGGGGGGCAGCTTCAGCAAAGCCAGTCATTGCCCAGGAATCACTCAAAGAGCAGTGCCCTTGACAAAGAACTTCTGGGCTGTGTGAATGGGTTTGGTCAGCCCCACTCCTGGACAGACCTCCTGGGTTTTAGGGGCCCAGAAGTAGTGGTTGACCTCAGCCAATGGCAGGAAGGATGAACATCCTCGTCTAGTAGGAATCTGTGGTATCTCTGAAACGTCAGCCCCATCCTCCAACCAAGTTCAGGGTCCTTCTGGAGAACACGAATCTTTCAGGAGCTCCACCAGGTCAGCTCTGCGGCCAGGCTCCTCAGGGAGCAGCCCATTCCTTTTGGTGTAAGCATCCCCATCCTCCAGGGCTCCAGGCACTGGGGAACTTGGCAGCATGTAATTTGGTGTCTGTCTGCACATGGCCAACACTCTGTGGTCATTGTCAACTGACCCTGCGTCTCACGCAGCACTGCTGTTACCTGCCTCGCTCTCCAGTTTCTAGGGGTGTGCTAGCAGTCGGGCTGCACTGGATCAGAAATACACAAAGAGGAAGGAGAAAAATATGAGGAACTCTTGCTTTGTGCTGCTCTGCACATTCACTGCCCATCACAGTCCATGCCAGTAAAAAATACCTTGAAATTCACACCTTATGCTCTGTCTGCCCACATCTGGTTATTGATGCTGATGCTAAACACACATGAGCACACAGTTCACACACAAGTGGAAGGGGCGATGCTGCAGGGAGGCAATGGAGCAGAAGAGGGTGGTTTTGCCACTGGGTCCAACATCCAAGGTTCATGCCCCTTATGGTCAAACCATAAATACGGACACCTGCATGACGGCAGGGAGCCCGCCCTTTCCGTATGCAAAGATTCTGCTCTTCCAAACCATCAGGGCCGAGGAAGGTGATGAGGAGTGAGGCACTGGGGAGAGAAAGCCGGGAGGGGGAGGAGAGAGATGGGCTCCACCAGATTTTTTTTTTCTCTAAATATTTATGACCAGAGCCCCCAGGGAGGCTTTCAAGGCTTTAAATACTTAGATGCTGCAATGGCCACTTTTAGCAGGATGATGCCGACTTTGAGTTGCAGTTCTGAGGGCAGTGGGATGACTCTAAGCGGCTCTGCTGCCACAGAACACTCTTACCAAGAGAACGGCACAGGGCAGGCAAATTTGCGTTAAAGTTTAATGTTATTGCTCGCATGCTGGTTTTGGGTTCAATCGAGGATAAAGTCATCTTTACGTGCGTGAACCTGCTTGCTATATATCAAGGCGATTTATATAATCGGCATAGACACTGTTGATATTCGTGCCCTTTTTCTTGAGTGTGTGACTTAATTTTATTATTTAAAATGGTCATAGAAATGAATAGTTTTTGGTCTCACTTTTATACCAGGGACAGCTTGATTCAGAGGTGCTGGGGGGTCCTGCAGAGGTGTGGACTCCACATGCTGTCAGAGCAACACAAAGCTTTTCCCTCTGTTCTCTTTCCGTCTTCCTCACCAGGCCTTGGAGGGAGGCGGTGCAGCTGGGCAGTGGTGGGGCCCATGGAGGGGGTGAGGGGGAGGCAGAGAGCCAGGGGGACTGACAGCCAGTCCATCTGGAGTGGGTCTAGAGCAGGCGTGGCATGTGTGGTGGGCGGGGCTGGGTGAAATGGTGAGTTAGGGGCAGGCTGGGAAGACTCTAGAGGTCAAACTGAGGAGCGTGGATTTTATTCTAAAGGAGCTAGAAGAGTGTAGCTTCAGATCTGTGTTTTGAAGATCAAAGCCAGCAGTATTAATTTTATTATTATTACATTTTTAATCCTCACCTGAGGATATTTTTCCATTTATCTTCAGGTAGAGAGAAAGGGAGAGAGAGAGAAACATCGACGTGAGAGGGACGCATCAACTGGTTGCCTCCTGCACAACCCCAACCAGGGCCGGGGACGAACCAGAACCGAGGCACATGCCCTTGGCTGGAATCAAACCTGGGACTCATTGATCCATGGGCTGATGCTCTACCACTGAGCCAAACTAGCCAGGGCCATAGCCATCAATATTAATGGAAGGACCAGAACAGAAAAGATAGGAAGCAGGGAGATATTTCCAAGGCTACTGACATAATCTGGAATAAAAGAGAGTAAAAGTTTGCACCAGGAGAAAGGTATGGTGGAAATAAAAGGTAAAACAAAGACCAGCTCATAGGTAGAGAGCAGGTGGGCAGGTGGGCTGGGGGTAGGGGTGAACAATCATTCAGTCCACTATCATTTTCGTAAAAGGACTCTATGTTTTACTCTAAAAATATTTTTCACTTTTCCAAACGACTTACCCATATCGATGACGACCCACATCACGGATGAGCCTCTCGGAGAGATAGGCGCCGATCCGATCCAGCTTCTCTGGAGCTGAGAGGGCGTAGAAGGTTAGCTTCTCCATGTTGGTCTTCACCAGGCCATCCTGCAAAAGACAGGTGTTCCTGCTCACTGCGGTCCTGCCGTGGCCAGAAGAGTTCAAGTCTCAAGGTCAGTATTAATTCAATTTAATCAACATTTGGCAGAGTGTCATTATGTATGTGACAGACGACATACAAATTTCAGGGATATAAAGATGATTAAAATGTAGTTCTTGCCCTGGCCGGTTTGGCTCAGCGGTTAAAGCGTCGGCCTGCGGTCCTGAGAGACCCGGGTTCAGTTCCCGCTAAGGGCATATACCTCGGTTGCAGTTTGTCCCCGGCTCTGGTCAGTCGTGCGGGTGGCAGCTACTCGATGTGTTCCTTTCACATCGATGTTTCTTTCTCTCTCTCTGTTCCTCTCTCTCCCTCCCACTCTACCTGAACAAAAAAATGGAAAAATGTCCTCGGGTGAGGATAATATATATATATAGTTCTTGCCCTCCAGGAACTCACAACTTAGCCCAAAGTGTGTTAGCTATAACTAAAACTAGTAAGTGATATGAATGTATGTGTGTGTGTGTGTATATATGTGTGTGTGTACATGTGTGTATATATGGGTGTATACAAATGTGTGTATATACATGAAAGCACATATATGCATGTGTGCATGTGTGCGTATGAAGGCTTCATTGACAGTGACTTGGAAGTAAACGTGTTGGCTATCCAGAACCAAGAAATGAACAGGAGGAAGGAGGTGGCTCTGTAACTCATAGGACCTTCTCCAGAGGGTGCTGGAAATGTCCCCCCTACACCCACTGCCCATCACGAAGAGGCCACTGATTCCCAGAGAGCAAGTCAAGTACATCAGATTCTGACATTCCTGCAGCCACCCAGCGTGTGATGCAGCCTGCTGGTGAAGTGGCAGTCTGGAAGCCAAGAAGCCAGGCGCCCTGCTGCGCACATCCAGACGTCTGACAGATACCAGAGGGAGCTGGGGAGAAGACACAACCCAAGAAAGGGAGTGCTCACACTAAACAGCAGGAAATAGTGCCATCAAGAGAGTTAGCTGCTCAAGGAACCATCACCCAGAGAGATGCGAGGGAGAAAGACGAGTGAGATGTTGTTCAGCAATGGCCAAAACGCACTTCCAGGGCCCGCTGCACATGCCGACTTCAGAGAGCTCTAACCCCCTCGGCTTCAGGGCCCCAAGGGCTTCTCCGAGGGGGCCCGGACGAGGGCCCTGGAGGCCTGCCTTCCCTGGCCGCACCCCTCTGAGCCCTGGACCGGCTGAGACGGAGAGAAGCACAGTGCCCACTGGAGAAGTGACGCACCTCGGGGTCCTCAGGGAAGATGTTGTCAACCAGCCTTTTGTACCTGGGGCGTAGGGCGCCACAGCAGCCACACACACCTGGAACAGCAAGGGGGGAAACTCGTGAGCACAGCCTCCAGGTCAGGCTGAGATGACCTGGGAACCAGGCCAGGTGTCTTGTAAGAAGCCAAACCCAAGCTGGAAACAAAAACGTCCCTCCCGTAGAGTGCAGGACCTCACCCTTCCCTGGGGTCGGCCTCTCCCACTGCTTCCCCACAGTCCAGAACATTTACCTTCCTCGCTTCACATCCTTTGCTTGGGGTCAGGCACAGGGCCCTATGCAAGGGCGATGCCTGCAGACGAGCACCTGTTCACGGTGCCAGGCCATGGAGGAGCATTTCGAGGGATGAGGCTTTGGGGCGGGAGCTTACATATAGATCAGATGCTGCCCCCACATATTCCACAGTGCTGTACATGGGCATGTGCGCCTGTGTAAACACTCTCTCTCTCTCAAACTGAGCTGGGACAATACAACTTCCTCCTGCAGCTCAAGAACCTTCCCCAAGTCGGGAAGATAGACATAGCTTGGAGACTGATCGCTCTTCCCATGCTGCCCCACTTCTTTCCTCTTCTCAGTCTTCTCCATCACCCTCTCCCGAAGCCATTTCCATTACAGAGTGTTCCGTGAAACTATGATAAATTAACATTACCATTAATGATTAACATTTGAAAATGCATCTTTAACTGTGGTGTTTGAATGTTGGGCAGGGCCCCAGGGGCAGCCAGACCACAGTCCTCAGTGCCAGCCTCCCGCCACCACGCTGTGGCCAGATGACAAAATGTGATCCGCTTTAGAAAGCCAATCTATGCCATCCAGGGAGCTGCGAGGGCCTCCTGCTTTGTCTTTGATGCTGTGACATGAGGGTGTTAGGAAATCAATGACAATCAAACCTCAGGTAAGGCAAGAGTTGGCCATTTTAGGTCCCACCACAAGAAGTTTTCAATGGAAGAAAATTGAGCCTTCTGGGAACCACTGCTCTTCAGTGACCCTCCCCAGCAGGGACCCTCCCGGAGGTCCCAGCATCCCTCACCCGCTGGGCACAGGGAGGGGGGAGGGCTCGGTGAAGGAGGAAAGAGGGCAGCAGGGCAGGGCCTGGGAAAGTCTCCTCCCCACACAATTGCCCCCCCCCCCATTTCTACCAATTAACGCTGAATTTTGCTTGTATAAACTCTCTCCTTGAAATGCAAATGTGCTCTGGAAGGGTCAGGCCTACGGGCTTTTCAGAAGAGAATGAAGTACTTAGAGGGAATTGCTTTAATCACACAGAGAGCTTTGCTGGGGGTGGAGAAGGGCTCTGGCAGTGGCGAAGGGAGGTGGCGGGGGTCAGGCAGTGCCAGGAGGGGAAGGAGAGGAGATTTCGGCTCTAGGGGTGATTTGGGTATGAGGGAATGGGCATGTCCTCGGGAAGCCTAGGTGCCCCCCAAGAGGGTGGGATATTAGACAGCTGATTTGTGGCAGCTCTCTCGCCACCACAGGGCTAGCTGTGTGCCACACCTCCCTCGGGCCATGCACGGGGCAGGGCGGCAAACCCACACCCTCTAGGTTCAGGGTTGCTGGGCTGGCCAGGCAGCCCCTCATCTCCACCTGCCCCAGCCCGGGAGAAGGTGTTAGGGCTCTGGCTGGCTGGCACTGGGTTATTGCTCACGATGGGACAGCTCCCGAGGGTTCCATTCCCCTCTTGTGTCTCAAAGCCAAGAGTTAAACCTGCCTCCTCCCGGGGACTGCCTGCCCCCTGGCCATGTAGCTGTCAGGATGCTTCTTGCCAGATGTTCCAGAAGCCTCCCTCCTCACTGTCCCTAAGTATTTTAAGGGAGGGAGCAAATAGTGACATGAAGTTAGGACTCAAAATACCCACGCCAGGCCCTCCTCAGACCTTTCCGAAGGGCCCAGGGGCCGGCCAGGTGCACAGTTGTTGGAGACCCAGACTCAGAGAGAAAGCACAAGCCCATTGTGGGTACTCAGGGCAGAAACCTCCGTGCAGGGGATCATGGGGGCTTCGTGGGGGCTGTGGGGCTCTTAGTGCCGGGGGGGGGGGGCAGGCAGGAGCAACATCCCAAATAAACCTACGGCTATTACTTTCCATATTATCTGTTCCACTTTAGAAAAGGGTTCATCATACAGTGAAAGTGATATTTTGGGATCTCAGCTAGAGGGCAGAAAGCTCCAAGCAGCACCCTACACTTCCTGGGGGTGTGATCAGAGCCTAACACAGGAGATGAAGGCCTCCTCTCTGATAAGGCAAAGAGCTGGGACAGGAGCCCCTGGCCTCTGGGTGCCACAGCAGCTCAGGTGATGAGAACCCACATTCACCCCTACGAAGCTTCCAACCAGATGAAGGTGAATTCAGAGTAGTCACAACCAGGCCATGGTGGTGGTGGGGGGCATAAGGAGGAGAAGACATTGAAAAGTAATTGAAAACAGTTCATTGTTAGTAAATATGTAAATATTAAAGATACATTTTATTTATTTATTTATTTATTTATTTATTTATTTATTTATTTATTTAATTTTTATTCCTCATCCAAGGATATTTTCCACTTTTTATCAGATAGAGTGGGAGGGAGGGAGAGAGAAGAGACAGAGAGAAACATCGATGTGATAGAGCCACATCAATTGGTTGCCCCCTGCATGACTCAAACAGGACTGGGGATGAACTGCAACCGAGGTACGTGCCCTTGACCGGAATCGAACCCGTGACTCATTGGTCTGTGGTCTGATGCTCTAACCACTGAGGAAAACCGGCCAGGGCAAAGGATACATTTTATATATTTCTTTAAACTTGCTTCTAATGGAATTTATTCTTTTTGAAAACAATTTTTTAAATCCTCACCTGAGGATATGTTTTGTTTAAATTGAAATTCTAGGGAGGGAGAGAGAGAAGGAAACATTGATTGGTTGCCTCCTGTACACACCCAGACCAGGAATCAAAGCCACAACCTTTGAGTGTAGGGAATGACACTCCAATCAACCGACCCACCCAGTCAGGGCTGATGGTATTTATCCTTAATGTTAGTACACAGAAGTAGGTAGAGCTTTAACTCACAGTCATGTGCCTGTAAAAAGCCTTTGAAATTCGGAATCCTTTTATCGCTGAGAGAGAGCGCTCTCTACCCTCTTACTCTCTGGGGATCGCATCTGGCTGATCTGAACACGGGGCACCGAAAATCAGTTTATTAAGGATCCTCTCTGTCACTAAATGTTTACACCTATTTTAAGGGTGAGAGGGAAACGTGATATGGCCAACTCGACTAGTAAGTAGTTGCTCTGGTTACTAAACAATCACATCAGTGGAGATTAACAAGGTGTCCAATGACAAGATTTCAGTGACTTCCTCCAACTTTAAAACTCATTACGGTTAGCCGGTTAGCCGGTGAGCGGTGCCCCAGAGGCCCTGCCCCTCTTGCCATCTCCCTGTGGTTCACCCGCCCCAACTGCAGGGGCGTCCTTGCACTTGGCCCTTGATCTTTGTATTCCCCATCTGGAATGTTCTCTTCGACACCCTCCCGGCTCCCACACTCATTACCCTATGGAGTCTGCCCACATGTCGCCTCACCGTGGAGAACTCCCCTGACCTCCATTCTCCTTTAATCTTCTATCCCTAGTCTATTCTTCTTCACAGCACTTTTTACCAACAAACACACTTCACGCGTGTCTGAGCTTGTCTCCTCCACTGGAAGGTGAGTTTCTCGAGGCCTCTCGGTGCTTGCATGACAGTTCTCCTCGGAGGACCTAGGGCAGTGCTCCTGTGGCTGGCTCCAGTCTGAATCCTGCCCAGCCGGTCTTCTGGGGTGCCATCACTTGGGGCTCTGGAGGCTGGGGCGGTCTCTCTTTAGGCCCGGGGAGGGGCACTTTGGGCAGCGAGTAGCATGGGGTCAGGGTTCCTTCTGCCCTGTCCCTGCCATATGCTGGCTCCCTGCTTACTGTGCCCCTGGTTTGGCCTGTGGTTGCGGCCCTGACTACTCATCAGAACCACCCTTGCATCTCTGAGAGGGGCCAGAGGTGTTCTGTGATCCTGGTGCACAGCCAGGGTGAGAGCTGGCCCAGCTCTTTGCCTGCCCAGCACGGGCTGCAGGTCTCACAGCAGCCGGCAGCTCCCATGAACTCTGGCCCTCTCATCTGGTCCGCCAGTGGCACCTGTCTCCCCACTGCTCTCATGCACTGCAGCCCTGTTCTATGCTCTGCTTGCCTGATCCTGTTACCTCGACTGATCCGGGCTAAGCACTCGACAAATATTTCAGATGATACTTACAGCAACCACTAAGGCATTACTATTGTTCTCATTTGACAGATGAAGGAGCAGGATCAGAGAGGTTTAGTGCCCCGCCCAAGGTCACATAACATGTACCTCTTTGCATGATTCTCTCTCCCCTGATTCTCCCATCACTTTCCCCAAAATATATCCTCAACAGTTTCTTAGGTTCATCCTGTGCTCTTTGCCATAGCCACCGTCACTAGGACATTTCCTTGACACTTGAGGTCCCGTCCTTGTAAATGCTACTTGGCCAGTTTCCTAGCTTCAATTTATTGTATATGTAGTTTTAAGGCAAATCGTTGGTTGATTCCATTTGCTTTATAGTCAAGCAGTTAAAGTGGCTTGTTGTTATGTTAAATGTCAGCCCTTCAACTTAGTATTCAACAGACAGGATGCCCCATAAAGGTGGGGGATGGAGGGGTTGTGCCCTTCCTCCGCTGCAGCTAGGCCTCTCGCTCATGGTTTGTCTCCTAGAAGAGCCCTTGTCTGGCAGCTGGAGGCCACTTCAGAGTCCAGTGTGAGACGGGCTGGGAGATGGGAGGTGTTGACTGGGGGAGCCATCAGCTGAGGAGAGCCCCACAGCTGCAGATGACAAGGTGTTCAGGTGACAGTGATAAGGCAGAAACTAGAAATGGTGAAGGGCAAAGCCACTGAGCTGGGGCCTTGAAATCATCACGTATGGGGGCTTCCCAGATCCTGGCACCTGCTGAGTCCTCCTTGGAAGCCCTCCAGTTAATACCCGCCCCCCCACTCTAGGCATCACCTCCCCCTGCCGGCTGACTCCTGT